CCACATCCTCTCGGCCAATCTCGCTTACAAGAAGGCTGATAATCCTCTCCATGTGACTCCTCGAGCATGTTCTTTAGCCAAACATCAAGATCCTCGCTAGTCTCTTCCTCAGACTCGCCAGGGTAATAACCACTTTCGTATCACACGTGTACGGCGTCTGCCGTCCGCTTGCAAGGTATAAAGTGGACCATTTTCGAAAACCGGTCGACGACAACAAAGATAGAATCATGACCCCGCTGAGTCCGGGGCAGGCCCAAAACAAAATCCATGCTAATAGCATTCCACGGACGAGAGGGAATAGGCAAGGGCCGATAAAGCCCGGCGTTAGAAGCAACGCCCTTGGAGACCTGGCAAACCCGACACCTCCTAACAATACGCGAAACATCACGGTGTAAAGAAGGCCAGAAAAAAGAACGACGTACCAAAGCGATGGAGCGGTCACGCCTTACATGTCCGACCCCATGTAGATCAGCCACAACCTTCATGCGAAGGCTACACTCAGGAATACATAATTGGACCCCGCGAAATAAAAAGCCGTCAGACAGAATAATCCTTAAAAGGACCCGAAGAGAGGCGCGACACCACGGGCCCGAATAAAACATCAGAAGCATAGAGATCCCGTAGTAAATCAAAGCCGACAACCGAGACTCGCATGTCAGTGAGAAACAAAGAGCGATGACTCAATGCATCCGCCACATGGTTAGACGCACCGGAGCAATGCTTCAGAACGAAGGTAAATTGCTGCAAATAAGAGGTCCATGTCGCATGGGGGGCTGAAATATTATCCTGAGAAGAAAGATGGCACAACGCCTCGTGGTCGGTAAAAAGGATGAACTCACGCTGAAAGAGATAGTGGCGCCAATAACGAATAACACGATAAACAACATAAAACTCGACTTCATAAGTGTTGTACCGCAGGCGAGGACCAGACAACTTCTCACTGAAGAAGACTACGGGGCACCCATTCTAACTAAGAACCACACCAACACCCATCTTAGAAGCATCGCACGAAAGCTCGAAAGGTATAGATAAATCAGGACGAGCCAAAACTGGAGCGGAAGTAAGCTTACACTTGATGAGGTCGAAAGCCGCCGCTGCCTGTGGGGTCCAAGCGAACCTCTTGCCGCGAAGACAGTCTATAATCGGGGTAGTAATGGAGCTGAAGTGGCAAATGAAACGACGGTAGATAGATGCCAGGCCGTGGATGCTACGAATGAGGTCGGCGTGGGCCACTCGCGAATAGCCGCTACCTTGCCCTCATCAACACGTATGCCATTAGTCGAAATAAAGAAACCCAAAAAAGAACCGAGTTGACGACAAAAGAACACTTCCGGGGTGCTGCGAAAAAACACTCAGCCCATAAAATCTGAAGAACTGAGCGAATATGAGTCAAGTGGTCCTCCACAGTCTGGCTATAGATAAGAATATCGTCGAAATAAACGATGACACAACGTCCAATAAGGTCCCGCAAAGCCTGGTTCATAACGCGCATGAAAGTACTAGGCGCATTCGAAAGACCGAATGGCATCACAAGCCACTCAAAAAGACCCTCACAGATCTTAAAAGCAGTCTTCCATTTGTCGCCCAGCCGGATTCGAATCTAATGGTAGCCACTCTGCAGGTCCAATTTGGTAAAGACTGTAGCACCATGCAACTGGTCCAACAGATCGTCAAAGAGTGGAATAGGAAACCGGTAATGGACTATAATCTTGTTCATGGCCCGACTATCAACACACATCCTCCACGATTTGTCCTTCTTCGGGATGAGTAAAGCGGGGACAGCACACGGGCTCAAGCTACGGCGAACAACACCACGCTGCAAGAGTTCCTCCACCTGACGACGTAACTCCTCATGTTCTTCTGGACTCATCTGATAATGGGGACGGTTCGGCAGAGAGGCACTCGGCACCAAGTCGATCTAATGTTGGATGTCCCAAAGCGGTGGAAGGCCCGAAGGTAGCTCCTCCGGGAAAACATCAGAAAACTCATTAAGGAGAGGCCGGATAATGGATGGAGGGGAACCATCGGTGCCAATATCAGTCCCCAAATATAACAGGACAAATGGCGCCGTCTGCATTTCGCCCACAAAAGCTGCACAAGAGAGAGAAAAAGAACCGAAGAAGAATTATCAGTAGATAAAGGGCGAGGAAGGGAAGGATGGAGTACCAGCCAAACGCCCTCAAATAAAAAATTGTAAGTTTTGAGGCGCCCGTCATAGACCACTGCATGATCAAACTGCCAAGGGCGACCCAACAAGAGATGACACGCGTCCATAGGGACAACATCACACCATGCCGTGTCTCTGAACTTAGGGCCGATAGAAGCGGCACCAAAACCCGACGATCCACAGTAATGTAGTTGCCACGCTGTATCTAAGCAAGAGTATAGGGGTGAGGATGTGTCGATGATGAAACGACACACCTTACCACCCACAGTACAAGTTGATTTGAAAAGGTTATGGCGCTGGAGAGAGTCCTCAGAAGAAGCCCGGGGCGCGAAACATGCACGCCGAATGACCAAAGTCGGGCCCACATCACCCATCAAATGCTCCTCTAATGGCTCCGGCTCCTTGTCAAAAATCGGCGGGCCCTCGTACACCACTCCATTGGTACCCTCGAACTCAAAATCATTGACCAAGGCGTGAGACCCCCCCTCCCCCCCGATGAGGACAAGCCGATTGCCGATGGCTAGCCTCGCTGCAAGAGAAGCAATGCGGGCCAACGCCCGATCGCGAG